CCTGCACTGAAATACTCTCAAAGGCCTGTTTGACAGTGAAGTGAAAAGTAAATACAGGGTAAACGTCTTGAGGTGGAAAGGCTGTGAACCTGCTATAGACTAGCATTCAAGTCAAAGACAGGGGAAACTCAGAGGTACTCCTCCGAGCTGAACACAGGAAAGAAACTGCATCCGTGGGGCGCTGGGTTCAGCAAAACAGAACAAAACAACATCTTGGACTTTCTGTGCATTTAAGCCAAAGTCAAAAGTGGTGGTCCAGGGTAACATATGGGTTTGCTTGGCCCTCAAAGGATAAGCCTCCCACAGATAACCCCTTTGAGACAAGGGCTGTGCCAGGCCTACTTTCCTCATTTAGGTGGTTGGCTGGGCCTTATAACACGTTGAGTCCTTCATCTAAATGATTTTTTTTTTTTTTTAAATTCTTTTGAAGAACAGAGTCCTTGCTTGTGTGCCCAGGCCGGAGTGTAGCAGTGTGATCATAGCTCACTGCAGCCTCAAACTCCTGGGCTCAAGTAATCCTCCCACCTCAGCCTCCCAAGTAGCTAAAACTACAGGTGCATGTCACTACATCTGGCTAATTTAAGAATGTTCTTTTGTAAAGATGGGGTCTAGAAATATTGCCCAGGCAGGTCTCAAACTCCTGGTCTCATGTGATCCTCCCACCTTAGTCTCCCAAAGCGTTGGGATTACAGGCCTGAGCCACTGCACCTCGCCAAAAGAAATTCTTTCAAGTAAACTAAGATATGCTGGGAGAGTCAATCCACTATTAACTGAACCCAATTTCTTTCGTAGTCACTTGAAAGAGAAACCCTAGAGGGCAAAGAAAAATCAAAAGTAAAACAGGGAGAAGAAGGTCCCATGGTCAATTGGCCATAGAGGGCACACCAAAGGCAGATACACAAATGCCACTTGCATTTAAGGGGACAAACAATAAAAGAATGTTCTAGATCTCCATTGTGTACCTGTGCATAATCTGCTGCTGACATTTTAATTTCTGATAATCGTGAAGGTCGCTGATCCCTGGGCTCCAGTTTAGCGTAATATTTCTCAAACATCTCAGTCTCAGTTCTGAGAGCAGAGTTTACATAGCTGCAAGACAGGGTACCTGAGTAAGTTCTAGTAATAAGAGTTTAAACCCCAAATAACTAGTGTTTAGTAACTAGTGGACCTGCAAGACCCCTTAACCTCTTGGTGCCTTAGTTTCCTCACCTATAAAATGGGTATAAGAATAGAACTTTAGGGTTCTAATAAGGAAGACAAAGCCTCTGGGACAGTGCCTGACACATAGTAAGTGCTATATATTTGATATTTTTATTAATATGTTTAATGAGCCATAAAATTCAGAATACTAGTATTACATTGAAAATTGTCATAGGTTTCAAGTATCATTGAACCCATTTGGGAAATTATTTCTGAATTACTATATATTTTATATATACATATTTTTTAAATTTGTTTAAGAGACAGGGTCTTACTCTGTTGCACTCACTGTAACCTTGAACTCTTGGGATCAAGCAATCCTCCTGCCTCAGCCTCCCAAGTAGCTAGGACTACAAGTGCACAACGCCATGCCTGGCTAATTTAAAAAAATTTTTGTAAAGGTGGTATCTTGCTATGTTATCAAGGCTAGGCGCCAACTCCTGGCCTAAAGTGATCCTCCCACCTTGGTTTCCCAAAGTGCTGAGATTACAGGCAATGATAGTCACTGTGCCCATCCTGAATTACTATAATATTGAAGTTACACACACCCACAATCTTCAGATGTTTCCTTTGGTTTATGTTTTTCAGTTCTTTTATTTCCAGCACCCAATAGATGAAAAGTATCAACCAGAAGTTTATCATAAACTGTGGAAAACTTTGAACAGAGGAAAAGAAAACATACCCAGTTTATCCTGTATATGCCAAGGTTATAACCTTTCTAACTTCTTAACTTCTCTTATGTGTGTATGTGTGTGTGTGTTACACACATATATATATGTATATATATATTTAAGAGAGAGAGAACAACTTTGATGTTTTCATGTGTTATTGATCTATTACATTGGCGCAAAAGTAACTGCAGTTTTTGCTATTACTTTTAATAATTCCTGTTTGGCTGAATTTTAAGACTAGTGGGGCCAGACGTGGTGGCTCACACCTGTAATCACAGCACTTTGGGAGGCCGAGGCAGGTGGATCTGAGGTCCAGGTGTTCGAGATCAGCCTGATCAACATGGTGAAACCCCATCTCTACTAAAAGTACAAAAATTAGCTGGGTGTGGTGGCAGGAGCCTGTAATCCCAGCTATTCGGGGGCTGAGGCAGAAGAATCACTTGAACCCAGGAGGCGGGGGTTGCAGTGAGCCAAGATCATGCCATTGTACTCCAGCCTGGGCGACAGAGCAAGTGAGATTCCATATCAAAAACAAAACAAAACAAAACAAAACAAACTAGTGGAAAAGGCTGAATGGAAAACACAATCTATCAAACTAGCTTGCTTTTTCAGCATATATCATGCTCCAGGTGTGTGTAGTCTGTGGAGTCACACCTGAGTTTGAATCCCAGCACTACCACTAACTGTGTGAACCTAGGGAAGTGACTTAACCTCTGTGTCTTTGTTTCCTTAGCCCCACCTCCTAGGGTTGCAGTGTCATCATATAAGATCATATATGTAAATGCATGGTACATAGAAACACTCAAAAATGAGAACTATTAGTAATAATACCTCAGTTCTGACCTAAAGTATTTGTAGCTGTGTAGAAGTAACATCTATTCAGCTGCTAGAGCTAGGATATTCTGTGCAAGACCAGCAAGTTGTACAACTAAACTACATCATGGAATCTTGATATCCAATTTACTTGCTATAGTAGTAGATATAAAGTAGACTGCAAAACTAAAATAAAATAAAATAAACGCAGACTATTGGGCCAGTCATTCTTTACTATCCATCTCCATGCTTATATCCAGGTTCAGGCACACGTTGCCTCATACTAAAACCATCTCAATAGCTAGGTTTCTATTCTGCTGCCGTGTTAGTTTTATCACAGATTTTTTTTTTTTTTTTGTGAGACTTAGTCTCTCTCTGTCGCCCAGGCTGGGGTGCAGTGGCACAATCTCGCTTCACTGCAACATCCGCCTCCCAAGTTCAAGTGATTCTCCTGCCTCAGCCTCCAGAGTAGCTGGGATTACAGGCACGCGCCACCACGCCTGGCTAATTTTTGTATCTTTAGTAGAGACGGGGTTTCACCATGTTGGCCAGGCTGGTCTCAAACTCCTGACCTCAAGTGATCCGCCCGCCTCGCCTCCTAAAGTGCTGAGATTACAGGCGTGAGCCACTGTGCCCGGCCTTATCATAGAATCTTAGCATCAGAAAAGGGCTTAGAAATCACCTGGTCCAACTTGCCTCTGTAGAATTGTGGATCGGCTAAGCACACCGTCTGGCACGAGAGAGACTCATCCGGCTGAAACTCTCACTTTCCCAATTACCCTCTGGGCTTCCCACCACCGGCCCCACCCCCTCGGCCCACCACCCGGATCTAGCTCCACCAACAGCTTGTTGGTTCAGTGGTGGTGGAGACGCAGGAGCAGAGGCAAAGTCTCCCCAGTGCTCAGTGAGGGCTTGGATCTTCTCCATGCTGGTCCCCAGGTCCAAGGCCGCCCCGGGAGGAGGGCCCAGGAGGAAGAGGGGCGGCCCCCAGGCGCGGGCCGCGGTACCTGAGCTCCTCCACCAGCCCGCACAGCTGGATAACAGGCAGCTCCTGCTCCGACCCTTCATGGGAGTCGGAGAGGACGCTCTCGATCTCATCATCAGTCATCACTCTGCCGAAGTGGTCCCTGCCAATGCCGTGTGCCCACGAGCTCCGGGTGCCGGCGGCCACACGTCACTCCGGCTGCGACGCGGCGATGCGGCGGCGCGTTACCCGGGCGACCAGACGCGAGGAAAGGGGTGGGGCTTCTGGTGTCCCCTCCCCGCCCTGCCCCGCCTGTCTCCGTGCGGACCCAGCCAGTTTGCTGGCATTGACTGCACACCTAAGCGCGTTGAGTTTCACTTCTTTAACAATAACTCTTAAATTGATAGTAATAATAGCAGCTGCTGTTTCTCAGCACTTACTGTGTCCTTGGCATCGTGTTAAGCATAGTTTATGAAAAACCTTCGCCACAACCTTGTAATGGTATCTATCACTCTCTCCATTCTCCCAATAAGGTAACTGGGGCCCAGAAAATTAACACGATTTATCAGTGTCCTTTTTCCCCTGTTCCACTGGGAGGCCCCTGCTCTGTTCACCACCTGGGGCTTCCTACATGCTAACAGCAGCTCCTCTCAGATATTAACATCCTGCATTTCTGGAAGGAAAAAACGTGACTGATAAAAATGGGTATACATTCAAGAGACATCCCTAAATAGTTTCTGAATATCTACTGTGTCCTTAGTATCCTAGGGGGAATGTCTGCAAAAGACCATTCTGATCCTCAAGGAGCTTCCAATTAAATGAGTGAAACAGCCTCTAAACAAGCCGCTGGAACCTGGGGTGCAGACAGCAACATCATGCGTCACACTGTGCATCGTAGTCATCTCCTTAAGACCTCAAAACAATCTGGTACAATTGATATAATTGCCGTCATCTTACAGATCAGAAAACCAAGGAATGGAGTAGCTTAGGTTCCATTCCACTCAAGAATGGAATCAAGCTCCGGTGGAACCCAAAGTCCGTGCTGTTAACTTCTACGCTGATGTGAGACATGGTAAGGATCAGGGAGGCAACACGGGAGCTCTCTGCTCCCCATCGGGATAAAAGAGGACAGAGGGCAGGACGGGGAGACTTCTCCTAGGGAGGGTGAGCTCTAGATGTGCTTAGAAAGCAAGATGTGATAAAGTGCTTGGGGTGCGTGTCAGCCACCTTCCCCTGCAAGGGGCATGCATTAGCACTGACAGGCACTCCCTAGATCTGAGGGAGGGTTTTTGTTTTGCTGCTCAGGGTGCACAAGGTTGGGACCAGAGTAGAATTACTGGAGATGGCAGCAGAGAGCTGGAGCCCTACCACCTTCTCTCTGGCGGTAGGCCTCTTTAGGTTCTAGGGACAATGCAGACCACATTTAGGAATACTTAATATGTCCATATTCAAGGTGACACAAATGGATGCTATCCCCAGGTGACATAAAAAGATGCCAGCTCCAAGTGTACCCAGAGCAAGAAAGGGCTCTGTAGCAAGTTGAGAGGCTATGATGCAAACAACCCTGCCAACTGGGCTGTGTGATACAACAGACTCTATGGCATTGGGGGTATCCGTGGTGAAAAAAGATGCAGCAGGAATCTTAAAGCAAGACCCAGCAGGAGAATCACAGCAAAGGACCCAGGATTCTGAAACAAGACCATACGATCCACAGCAGAGAATTATATGTCTTTTGAGAAATAACTCCTGGCCTGTTACTATACCCTGGTAGAGACAGAACGCTGAATATATGGGGTACCAAGTGACCATGCATCCAGTCCTGCCCTCTACCAGCTGGGTTCCGCTGGACCCACTGAGTTATTAAGCAGGACAGGCCCAGCCTCAGTCCTGGAAATGGTTAATCCAGGGTTGGGCCTCAGCAAGACCAGAGAGCATGAGTAAGCTGCATGAGCAGGTAGCCCAGACCAACGTGGCACCCACCACATTTGCACCAGGATCCCTCCCCCAGCTCAAATGTATGACTATATTTGCAGGGGCTTGGGGAGGGAGTTCATGACCACCTGGAAGAGAAGGCAAAGGCTTGAGCTCAGTTTACAGATGGGCTGGCTTGGAAGCCAAAAATGGACAGTGGCTGCATTACCACCACTTCACAAAAGGTAGTGAAAGACAGTGGAGAAGGAAAGCTTCCCAACTGGCAGGGTTGTGAGTGGTCTTGCGGCTGCTCATCTATTTTGTGTGGAGAGAGAAATGGCCCCGGGGACTCATCTAATTGGAAACTGTTTTTTAAATTTTTGTTTTTGTTTTTGTTTTTTTGGAAGGGGGAGTTTATTTTTACTTTTTTGAGACAGGGTCACACTCTGCTGCCCAGGCTGGAGTGCAGTGCAGTGGCACATTCATAGCTCACTGCAGCCTTGAACTCCTGGGCTCAATCGATCCTCCCACCTCAGCTTCTGGAGTAGCTGGGACTACAGAGGCATGCCACCATGCCTGGCTAATTTTTTTTTTCTTTCTCCCTCTGTTCTTTTGTTTTGTTTTGTTTTGTTTTTGTTTTTCTGTAGAAATGGAGGTCTCGCTATGTTGCCCATGTTAGTCTGGAACTCTACCCTTCAGAGATCCTCCTGCCTCAGCCTCTCAAAGTGTTGGGATCACAGGTATTAGCCACTGTACCTGGCCTAATTGGCATCATGGACTCAAAGACTCCCCATCAGGCTGGCTGGAACTTTGTTAGCGCCGTGCTTTGATCTGGGATGGCTGCTCCCTTGCCCTCCCTCCGTCCTCTCCCAGATGTCATCACAGTGGGAGGCTGTCCTTGTCTACTCCAGCTTCCTCTCCTTTGTCCATCACAGACGCTTTCCCCAAGAAAGAGATCTCTTCATGTCTAATTTTATCTTGGTTTGGAGGACTCAAACCAATACAAAGAATAAATTCCAGTCTTAAAGATATTATTCTAATTTGGTAACATATTAGATGTATGAACTAAAATTTGCACTTGCCAAACAAAAATATTGTTTGGATCACCTTGCTGTTCAAGCTGCTTTACATGTTTTAAAAATTGTGGTTAAAAAGTACATAACATGGCCGGGCGCAGTGGCTCATGCCTCTAAATCCCAGCACTTTGGGAGACCCAGGCAGGTGAGAAGAAAAAGAATAAAAAATAACATAAAATTTACCATCTTTTTTCTTTTTCTTTTTTTTTTTTTTGGTTTTTTGTTTTTGG